ATCTGTCTGGTACTGAGACAGGTGTGATCAAGTCCTCCCCTATTATCGTAAATCAGATGCTTGTATTACTCAGGAGTGTGCTTTGTGGAGAGAGAGGACCTCTTCTTTTTTTTTGGTCTCTGCTGATGCATCTCCTTCTGTCAATGAAGTTGAGAGTCTGGTGTGCCATCTGCATGGTGGACATGACCACTGCTATAGAGACTAGCTGCTTTTGTAGCAGCCATGGCAAGTGCAGTGGCTGTGGAGGGCTACTCGTGTGAAAATGGTGTTTTTGGTGTATTCTTTACCTGGTTGTGGCTGGGATCAGCTTCCCTGGCTCCACGCCTCCGGGCCCTGTTGGGTCCCAGGGCTGTGGCAGCAGCTTGCTTAGTTGCAGCTGGGTTTGGCTTCCTCGGTCCCATGTCTGATTCTAAGATGTTGTTGCAGAGTAGTTGGTGTGGAGAAGGAGAAGGGAAGGGGGAGGGGAAATAAGGTGGGAAGTGAGAAGAGAAGGGGGAGTGTGATCGAGGCCCATGGCTGTCCCCCCAACCTCCCATTCAGGCAGGGGAGACCAGGGGGCTTCCAGCAGCAGCTGGGTCATCATTGGGCTTGTCTGGATGTTGGGGGGTGTGGCTGAGGCCCTTGGCCCCCCGCTGCCCTGGCTTAGGACCCAGTTTGCTTCCTGTGGCGTAATTCCACTTTTATAATTTCTTCTTCATTTATTAGCTGTAATATTTCAATGGAAAGAAATTTTTCATCCACTATTTGGTTACTTTGAAGTATAGTTAGTATAGGAAAGGTGGAATAAATATTTGATTTCTTTTTTTTTTTTTTTGTCTTTTGTCTTTTTCCGTGTCCGGCAACGGATTGCAACCCTCAGTGTTGCCCCCGTACCGGACCGGGGACCGGCAACGGGATCGCAACCCTCGGTGTTGCTCCCGCGCCTCACTCAGCCAGTGAGCGGGAACCGGTCTGTATGTGGGATCCGAACCCTCGGGCGGGAGCGCCGCCGCGCTTCCCAAGCGGCGCACTATCCAGTGCGCCACCGGGCCGGCCCCAATTTTGATTTCTTTTTTGAGTGTTGTTATGAATTTAAAGATTAAACATATTTGGTATATTTCAACCTATTGTTTTTTTTCTTTTTTTAAAAAAATTTTTATTGAATCATAATTGATTATACTTATTTTTGGGGTTCAGCATTGATGTATGTTGATCAAATCAATATTACTAGCATATATATTGTTATGAATCTTAATTATTCTTTATGCCCCTTGTCCAATCTCTCCCTCTCCCCCCTCCTACCACTGTTAACCCTAGATTTCTTCTCTCCTTCTGAAAGAATAATGGTTACTCTGTTGATTTGTTGCCTAGATGGTCTGTCCAGTGTTGAGAGGTGTGATGAGGTCCCCCAATATTATCGTAGAGCAGATGCTTCTTCTGTCACTCTGGAATGAGCTTTGTGGAGAGAGACATCCTCTTCTTTTCTTTGGTCTCTGCTGGTGACTCTCCTTGTATCAATGCACTCCAGTGGCTGGCAGAGCATCTGCACGGTGGTTGTGGCATCTAGCTACTTTTGTGGCAGCCATGGTTATTATGGTGGCTGTAGTGGGCCACCCACATGGAGGTGATGTTTTTGGCATGCTCGTTACCTAGTTGGTGGTGGCGATGGCACTGTGCCTGGTTGTGGGTGGAGGGTCTGATCCCCAGATCCATGCCTCAGGACCCTGGGCAGGCTCTGTGGTGCTGGTGGTGTGCCTGGTTGTGGGTAAGGGCAAGGGGGTTGTCCGATCTCTGGCTCCATACCTCAGGACCCCAGGTGGGACCTGTTGCACTGGTGGTATGCCTGGTTGTCCCCCCTTTCTGGCTTGGTAGCCCAGGGGACTTCCAGTCCTTCTAGGTGTTATAGGTGTTCTATGGTGAAATGAGACCTTTACTAGTTAATATCAAACTTTGTCTCTGGTTGTAGGTACTGTTTTTTCTTTCAGTTCTGTGTTAGGTTATTTGCTGTTCTCACTACTTAAACTCTGCACTGGAACTAATTTATTGTCCTTTGCTTACTTCTAAAGTGGGGGGGCTTCCTGTGGGGAAGTACTTGAGCTCTGTGGTTGAGCTAAATTGCTGCTTTGCTGCTGATTCCCTGGGGAAGTCTTTTTGTGCAGCTCAGGTTTTAATGGTTGACTTTATAGGACTTCTGGGTTTAGTGAAATCCAGTGTACTTGGGTTGTGTAGAAACACTGGTCTGGGCCTGAGTCTTTTAATCAAACTGAACCCCATGCAATTCTATATTACTGAACAGTCTCCTCTGAGTGGTCCTATGCTGATTAGGGGACAGATCAGCTGTCCTTGCTGTGTTCCAGTGTTCTCCCAGTGGGCCCGTCTCCCCCACTGCCCATGCTGCAAACACTTCCCATGGGATGGGCTGTATGCCAGTCCCTTGTGATGACTCACCAGCCTCTGAGTGGCTCTTTTTTTTCAGTTGTTGTGGCTCCTTGCTCCTATGTGGGCCCACAGGAACCCTATTAGTAGTCTTGCTGGCCTGGAGGCTACCAAGGCCCTCTTCTCCCCTGCTGCCTCCATGCAACTTCATCTGAAGGGCACAGCTGTGGCTTTTACCAGCTCCTGCTCTGTGTGCTCAGCAGCTCCAGCCTGAACCTATTGTTGGTATTATACTTATTAAATGCTCACATTGCCCCATCTTTGAAGTTCTTAGGAGCCTCTTTGGGTTAGCTCATGAAGTCCTTTTGCCCTAACACCAGTAATCTTTGATAGCTTTGATAGATGCTTCAGACACACTTTGTACATTTCCTGCCCTGGACCTTGTAATTGTCCATTTCTCCAAGGATCACTGGTTCCTTTCAGGAAGGAATGGTATTTAGAGCCCCCACTCTGGGTGATGGGGACGAAGCTTTAATCTCAATGTGAATAAAGCTAGTAGGCAGGGCTGTGTAGTCCTTGGGGCTCTGAGCAGATCTGGTTCCTCCTGGGGTCTCTGCTGAGAATGCAGTTAGCTGTGGGAGGAGTGCATTTTGTAGCTGAATGACAGAAACAATCAGATGAGAATAGTCCAAATTTATTTGATAGATGTGATCTTGTTGTCCAATGTTTACTTTTGGTAAAAGACATGGTGGTAATATGTTTGTAGGTGTCACTACTCATTTACCCTTCCAGATGGATGCTGGGTCTTGAGGAACAGGCAGTGGAGGCAATGAACTGGTCATAGACTCAAATGTGGGATCATCAGCCTGGATCTGGGGTCTTGTCTGGCCAAGCAGGACTTTCTGGCCCCCATGACTGCAGAGCCCCAGGTTCCACATTAGTACCCAAGTACTGAAATGTACTCATTGGGTTCTCATGAATACAGAATTACAAGCCATCTTACTGTTGTATTCACTTAGAAGGGATCTAGTATTTGTGGGTGAGCCTCAAAGTAAGATGACCATCTCCTTAAACTTGTTTAGGTAGCTGCCTTCATGACAAGGTAAATCTTTTCCACAGGTTTGGAAAACAGCAAAGATACATCTGTTTTATAATTACGTGGTGGCTCTACCTAATAAATACCTATGTAGGCGGCTACATTAAGCATATGGAAAGGATAGTAAAAGAGAATTAGTGCTTATTTTTCAGGCTTTTCCTGCCTGTGTTCTCATTTCATCATGGCATTTCTGCAGACTGGTTCCAGTTGAAGAACGTTTGGGTCCTGCCCACTGTGGTACAGCAGCTGCTTAAGGGAGACTTCACCCCCACCCCTACCCCCTGTTTAAACTGGGATTTAAAAATGTTTTTTGCATTTCTTGGCATTGATGTTCCAACATGAGTTCTGATTTTAGTGCAATTTCTTTTCCTTCAGGAAAAAAAATGCCAAAATCAAGACAGGGTACAAGCGGGAGCACATCAACCTGGGCTGCGACGTGGACTTCGACATCGCTGGGCCTTCAATCCGAGGTGCTCTCGTGCTGGGTTATGAGGGCTGGCTGGCTGGTTACCAGATGAATTTTGAGACCGCAAAGTCCCGAGTGACCCAGAGCAACTTTGCGGTTGGCTACAAGACTGATGAATTCCAGCTTCACACTAATGTGTAAGTGTATGTATGTGGGGTTCAAGTGTGTGTGGTGGTAGGATTGTTTTTATTTATTTTTTCTAAACTAAATTTTTAATCACCGTAAAGTGAGTTTGTTGGAATCAGATGGGCCAATGAATGGCCTGCTAGTATTTTTCTGTTTCCCACCATTTCCTGAAGTGTCTTAGGTTCTTACTGTACTGTGAGCAGCAAATTTTGCTTCTGGTAAACACACAGTGACTGATTAATTACAACAGGTGTATGGTATCAGTCCAGAGGAGTGTCCCTTCCCCACAGTTTTCTGGACCCTGGAGGTCTTTTCAGTTTTAGCTAACAAAATGGGGGTGGCGGTTGGGGGTGAATGTGCAGCTCTCTTTCTCTGTATAATGCTTGAGGATCAGCTCATTACGCTTGATGAAATGTAGACATGGTAGACAAATTAGGAGATGATTATCTCAGTTAAATACAAAGTGCCTTTGCATGATGGGACATTTAAAAGTTTTTTAACTACTGGATAGTACGGCAAAGGGAGGAGATTTGATTACAGGTTATGTTTGAGAGAGCCTCTTGTAATCAAGCTTGAGAGTTGAAGAATGATGATTTAGATTAAGGGAAACAAAAATTTTATCCATAAAAATCTCATTTTAATTAGTCCCATGAGGAATTAACCTGTGGCACAAGTTGGGTACATTACCAAGTTTCTTTCTTTCCACTAGAGGTCACTAAAGTGACTTCTTTAACTTAAGACAAGTAAATAGTATGTGTGTAAACTATTTCCGTTAATAAAATTTCTTTGAGGAATTTTTATCATTAATTAAAAATTTTGAGTCTTTGCTAACAGGTCACAGGAAAATTATAGAGATGGACAGTCCACTGGTTGCCAGGACGTGGGGAAGGGGTGTCTACAGAGGAGTAGTATGAGGGAGTTTGAGGTGATGAAACTATTCTGTAGCCTCGTTGTGGAGATGGTTACATGAATCTGTACGTGTTAAAATTCACAGATACATACAATAAGAAAATGTCAATTTTATTGTATGTTAATGCAAAACAGGTAACATACAAAAAAGTCAAAGGAAAAATATCCCACAGGTAGAAGTGCTTTTTAAATTAGAGTTCTGAACAGCAAGGGCTGGCTGGTTAGCTCAGTTGGTTAGTGTGCAGCCTTATACACCAAGGTCAAGGGTTCAGATCCCCTGCCAGCTGCCAAAATTAGGATTCTGACTGGAGTGGGAAGTGCTTTCTTGATTTGAATTTGGAATTGGCACCAGTTCTCGGGGGAGCAATGGCTGTTAGCCATTTCCTCCACATACCTGAGCTTCAATATTTTTAATAAGTAACAAGAGGACATGGTTTATTTTTGGAACTGGCATCGAGGCAGCTGACACAGCTTGTCTCGGATGCCCTGGGGCTTGCAGAGACCCAGATGTATAACAGATGTTCTTTGTGTTTCATGTAGGTGAACTTGAACAGTATGCTGCCTCTGTTTGTGGTTTTGAAAGCTCAGTACAGGAAAGCAGTGTTGTGTTCTTGCTTTTAGAATATTCTGAGAGGGGCCGGCTCGGTGGCGCACTGGATAGTGCGCCGCTTGGGAAGCGCGGCGGCGCTCCCGCCCGAGGGTTCGGATCCCACATACAGACCGGTTCCCGCTCACTGGCTGAGCGAGGCGCGGGAGCAACACCGAGGGTTGCGATCCCGTTGCCGGGCCCCGGTCCGGTACGGGGGCAACACTGAGGGTTGCGATCCCGTTGCCGGGCCCCGGTCCGGTACGGGGGCAACACTGAGGGTTGCGATCCCGTTGCCGGGCCCCGGTCCGGTACGGGGGCAACACTGAGGGTTGCGATCCCGTTGCCGGGCCCCGGTCCGGTACGGGGGCAACACTGAGGGTTGCGATCCCGTTGCCGGGCCCCGGTCCGGTACGGGGGCAACACTGAGGGTTGCGATCCCGTTGCCGGGCCCCGGTCCGGTACGGGGGCAACACTGAGGGTTGCGATCCGTTGCCGGACACGGAAAAAGACAAAAGACAAAAAAAAAAAAAAAAATAGAATATTCTGAGAAATCTGACTTTTTAAAAACTAAAGTCACTCAAAACTATTATTTTCTATAAGCTGCTGTTTTTGTAATATGCTGGGACTGTCTGAAGAAGACAGGATTCCCTGCAAGTCAGGCAGTGCCTGGGCTCACCTGTACTTTCTGAAAGCACAATTTCTGTCCAGCTGAATTTAGGGGAAAACGAAAGAATTTAAAATGTATTTAATGAGCATATACTTCAGTGAAATAGCAGTTATTTTTCTTAGGTCCTTAAGCCCCTTTCTGGGTTCCAAAGCACATGGGCTCTGAGTGCTCCTCCCAGTGCTGAGTGGGTTCTGGCTGTGTTCCCCAGCAGTGGCTGCAGCAGGTGGTCCCGAGGGCAGTCACCTGCCTTCTGAGGGACACCAGTGGCCCACTCTTTCTCACCATTTCTGGCTGTGTTCTCTTTGCATTTGCTTCTCCTCCCATACCATTTTTATGATAGAATCATTTATAAAAGTAATAACATTAGCAGCAGAAAAAAGAAATCACTCAGAATCCCAATGCCCTAGTTGCTGCTTCTATTTTAAAGAGTATTTGAAAACAAACTTCAGGTTCCATGAAGGTTGAGTGGTTGACTGGGCTGCCTTCAGATATTCCCAGTGATGGTTGAAAGAGCTTTTCTCTCCTGAACTTTCTTCACTCTGGTGTCCTGTTATTATCAGACTTCCTATAATTTACCACCTGTTTTGTGAAATTTGGTGAACTTCTGGCCTTCTCAATACCAGTGATCTGCTCAGTCCATTTCCAGCATGCCTGCTTTGTGGTAGACTTGGGTAGCTCTGCCTGGGCTCTAGCCCACCTCCTTGGGCAGTGTGGCATCTGTGCTCTGCTTGTTTACAGGAATGATGGAACAGAGTTTGGTGGCTCTATTTACCAGAAGGTGAACAAGAAGTTGGAGACTGCTGTCAATCTTGCCTGGACAGCAGGAAACAGTAACACTCGCTTTGGGATAGCAGCCAAGTATCAGATCGACCCTGATGCCTGCTTCTCAGTGAGTACCTGGGGAATCTTGCATCTCACAAGCTCACCTGCTTCTTAAGTTGGAATCTTTCAGGACTGCTGGAGTTCTGTGCTTTGGCTTTGACGTTTTCTCACTTTGAAAAGAGTTCCAAATGAGTACAACAATAATGGTGATAGTACTTACTATGGGTGCCAAACACTGTGTGGAGCCTTTTACATGTGGATTATTGTATTTAATCCCATTATAGGCAGGTGCTTTAAAAAAAAAAAAAAAGAAATCATTCCTGTTTTTACAAATGAGGAACTGGAAGACTAGAGAGGTTGAATAACTTGTCCAAAGGCATATAACAGGCAAGTGGTAGTGCTGGGATTGGACCCAGATTGACTTGCTGTTGAGCCTTTTCCTTTAACTTATCCCTGTTCTGTAATGCAGACGATAAGAAAGGGTACCCTGCAACCTAGGGTTTTAAAATGTTCATTTTCCCCCTCAATTTTCATTGTTTTTCTCAGCCCCTGCATTGCATATTAAGAAATCAGTGGCCAGTTGGCATCTTATCTTGCAGACCCTGTAGCATTGCTCATGGGCCCTCAAATTGCTTCAGTTTTTGCAGTAAATCATGTCGGGCTCATTTCTGTTGTCACAGGGCACTGTAGGCTGCACCCCTTTTGGGGTGGAATGAGGAAATATGTTGCATAATGGTTTCTGTACTGGTTTGTGTAATTTGCAGACATCCCATGTTAAGTCTCCTGAACTGGGAATTGAATTTGGCTCCCTTAACTAAGTTAGGCACTTAAAAACAGGGAAAGGGGCCTTACGTTGGGATAGTGTAAGCAAAAAGGAACAGCTAGAAGGGACACTGGCTGCCAAGAGGCCTTCCTTCCTCCTTGCTTTGTTCTCCTGAAGGATGTCAGATCTCAAAACACCATTTGAGCAGGGCCTAAAACATACACCTAAATTTGATATAAAGATGCTCCTCCACTTAAGATGGGGTTATGTCCTGATAAACCCATTGTAAATTGAAAATATCATCAGTTGAAAATGCATTTAATAGCTGGATAAACTCATCATAAAATTGAAAAGTCTAAGTGGAAATATAAGTCAGGGACTGTCTGTATTTCATATTGAATTTAATGAATCCTATAAACAAGGCGGGCATGAAAAAAAACAATTTTATTCTGAAGTCCAGAGTTGGTTGATTAAAAAGCTGTTATTCATTTTGCAGATGGAAGTGTGAAGTACTTAACATTTTTACTGTTTTATCTTTTCCTTTCTAGGCTAAAGTGAACAACTCCAGCCTGATAGGTTTAGGATACACTCAGACCCTAAAGCCAGGTATGTGTTGGTTGTATGTGAAATCAGTTTTTTTCTTAAGAAAATTGTGCTGGTTTGCTGATTTATGTTATTGCTTATAAGATGCTTATATAGTACATTGTAAATGACTATATATACGGCTTTATGATTAATAAAGGAATGTAGGGTTATTATAAAACATTCGGAGAATATGAGAGGTAGTAAGCAAAAGGAAAAAAGGTCAAGGTGACATATAATACATTTTTGGTTATTTCCTTCAGGCTCTTTTGTTCAGTTTGTACATAATGCTTTATTCTTATTTCCAGCATGTTCTCAAAAATAGCCTGTAAATCATCTGCATTATAAAAAGACAAAAATATAGGAAAAGTAGTTTTCAGGTTTCCTTTGCACAGTCAGCTAGGCCAGTTTGTGGTGTGTTTGAGCTCCAGGAGATATACCACCTTTGAACCCTGGAAATTTAAGGTTATAAAACTACTCCCTGGAATTAAGCTACTCCAGGGAAAATCAGTTCATTGTGTGCATGTGTGTGTGTGCATGCTATGAAGGTGAATGGAAGACCTCAGGTCTGATTTAGGATTGGGGTTTCATTTTAAGGGATGATTGCTGAAGAAGCTTACTGTGTGATATCAGCAGTAGAAGGATTAATTGTAGCAGGGGAGCAATGAGAAGACAAAGGAAAGTGGAGTCCCAGAAGTGGATTTGGGTAGTCTGTCTGGTCTGTGGAATAATTACAGATTGTCCTAGAAGCTCACTCTAAGATACCTGTTGGTCAGATGGTGTTAAGTAATGAAGATTGAAGGGCTGTGTAGTGTGGCCTCTGCTGATAATACCTGGAACAGGTTCTGATTTTGGTGTTAATCCTCCTTTTCTTTTCCCCATCCCTCCCCCTTTCCTCTCCCTGGATTTTCACTCTGCAGGTATCAAACTGACACTGTCAGCTCTGTTGGATGGCAAGAATGTCAACGCTGGTGGCCATAAGCTTGGTCTAGGACTGGAATTTCAAGCATAAATGAATTCTGTACAATCGTTTAATTTTAAACTATTTTGCGGCATAGCTACCTTCAGAATTTAGTGTATCTTTTAATGTTGTATGTCTGGGATGCAAGCATTGCTAAATATCATGTTAGACCTCCAGGTTAAAGATGATTCAGCTTTAAGGTGTTACCCTTTCAGAGGTACAGAAGAAACCTGATTCCAAAATAAGGTCCTTTTAGCTGTAGACTTGGGGGAACTTGGTGACCCCTCTAGAGATGCCAGGTTTCTTTTTTATCTAGAAATGGCTGCAAGTGGAAGCTGATAATGTGTAGGCACTTTGTAAATTCGTATTGAATAAATGAATGAAATTGTGACTTCCTGAGAATTGAACCTTGGTTTCCTAACCCTGGTTGATGAGAGAGGCTCATTGCTTGATGGTGTGTACAAACTCATCTGAAAGGGACTTTTTTAGATAGATCTTCATGACTTGTTTCCACCCCAAGTCCATCATCACCTCTTTTATGACAAAAGTTGTCTACAGGGTGTGGTAGTTTTTTCCTCTGTGCCATTTTGGGGTGGAGAGGGTGGATGTGATGAAGCCAATAATTCAGGACTTAATTCCTCTCGTGTTGTAGTTTTTTTGCCCTTGCACCAGAGTACGAAATAGCTTCCAGGTGCTCTAGCTACACGCTGGAAAGAGCCTGTGTGGGTTGTAATCACATGGTGACAACACTCGGGATCCAAATTGGACTTCTGTTGTATTCTCACCACTCAGTTTATTTTTTAGCAGTTTAATGGGTACATTTTAGAGTCTTTCATTTTGTGTGGAATTAGACCCTCCCCTTCAAATGCTGTAATTAACATCACTTAAGATAAAACTTGAATAAAACATTGAAACCTCAAAAAA